GCTGCCATTGGCTGGGAACTGGCCAATGGGAGCGGGGGGGGGGGACGGTGCCTGCGGGCAAGAGCTGCATGGAGTCATTTGCATGCCTCAGCCTAGGAGCTGGACCTGCTGTTGGCTGCTTCCAGGGCACAGCCCCATGTCAAAACAAGTAGGGACTAGTCTGCCTTAGTCGGGCAACATCGCTGATGGGACTTTTAACGGCCCGGGCGGCGGTGTTGACCAGAGCCACCGCGACCCAGTGTCTTACATTCCACAACCCAGTACTGGGTCACGACCCACAGTTTGAAAAGACACTATATTAGAGCATTTGCAGTGGTGAAAGGACTGCTGGGAGTCTGCATCCATGTTAAGTAATTCTACAATGACAAAGCACAATCCAACCCTTATGAACAGATGTCCTGTAATAGATTTGGATTTGGAGGGGGTTATAAACAGGGAGTTTGGGAGGGTATTAAATGATTAAAAATGACAGTGCCTTCTTTAAATATGAAGTTCAGCTTTCCTTCTTTCATCTTTTATTGTGTCACCATCATTACAAAGACACCATATTGTATTCTTAGAGTTCCTACAACAGAGAAACTCTGTAAGTAACTGTCACTAGTGTAGTGGTTAAATTGCTGCACATAGTGACCTTTATGACAAGAGGCTATTGGAACTGTTCATATCCAGTAGAAGTCTTGTCTCTTATTTGATGTATTCTTTTTCTTCTCCTAGGTGATTTGCTGTTGGGTGACTGGTTTCTCGGGTGGCTGAACAATATTAAGTTATTTCTGAAAGCTACTTCAAAGAACAAACTTATGAGAAATCTATTTATAAAGAATTTCTAATAAAAACCATATGTATATTGCCTCTGTGGCACCTCCATTATCTGATCTTGACTGGCTGATAGAGATATATTTTCCTCTTAATAAAGGATTTAAAAATGCTCATTTCCCTTTTAATTTTTAAAGCAAAGACACCCCCACCTTCTAACCCAAACCATTTTCTGTAGTATGGTGGGCAGCAATTGGTTAATGACTCTCCTCCTTTCCTTTCCCTATCCACATTGGAATAAGAACTGTGATAGCTGTAATCGTATTAAAATATGCTGGTTTCTAGCGAGATTTTTCCCTTTACTACTATGGATGGGGAAATCATGCTAGCAATAAGTGACCCTATTGTAGACAAAAGCAAAGATATGCTGAAGCTTGTAGCTGTTGCCTGTTGTGCAGGGATAACTGGTATTGCAGATAAGTCAGGGCATCTGCTCCTGTAAGCCTGCTGCTCTTTGCATGGAACTTCCCCTAGGATTGAAGCAGGCTCTGCTGCTCCTAATGTTGTGCTGTCCACAGCTGAGACAGCATTTTAATAATCATTGGCACTTCTGTACCATTGCTTGAAAAATTGACTAGCTCGTGGAAAGTTAGGAACTTTCCATGTCAAGTTGGGGAGGCTTAAGTCAACACACTCTTAAAAAATAAGTTTCTAGCCCTCGTGAATGCTCAGATACACTCACAGTTAACTGATACAGTGCTACCTTTGTCCTGAGTCTTCACCCGTGTTTCACTATATCTACTGGCTCAGGGCTTTCCCAAGCCTGCTGCAAGGTGAAATTAACAAGACATTTATTAGTTTCTCTGGTGTTGTTCAAAACCCTTTGGGTGGCACAAAAACTGACAATTTAATTTTGACTGGTGCTTGTGAAAGCTGGGGGTTGAGTCTTTACAAGTAAGGGACCTTAAAAAAGTTGGGGAAGGGAGGGGTAGAGAAGCAGACCTCCCTTCACTAACAGCTATGGGTTGGGTGAGATAACTCGTTCTCCTTTACAGCGGCTCTAGAGTGGGCCCTTCACATTTGTCAGAGACCTTCTGTCCAGAAGCTGATCCAAAAGACTGAGCCTCATGCAGTCATCAGAAACAACACCCTGGAAGTAATCCCAATGCACTCTCACTTCCCAGAAACTTCTGTTTCTATTGGTGGTTCGTCTCTTGTGTTAGCCTGTGTTTTGAGGGTTTTGTTTTCTAGTAGAAAGCATACAGTAAACTTTTAAGTTTTGTATCTATAGCCACCTCTACCAAAGGATCTGTAAGCATTTTACATATGTTAATTAAACCTTAACCTGCTCTGTCAGGAAGGTAAATAATATCTTCATTGTATTGTGGGGAAACAGAGACCCAAAAGGGCAATTATTTGCTCAGGGTCACAGTGAGGTGGTGGCAAACCAGCAATAGAACTTGAATCTCCTGGTACATATTCCTGCCCTTTGGCCACAAGATTATCCTTTCCTCCTTCGTGAAGGCCAAGAAAGAGTGAAAAAGGAAGATGAGTGTCCTCCATTTATATCTCCTAGGTTCCAGTTCTCCCTAACCGCTACAGCCTACAAATAACTCCCTGTCAAGACAGTAGGAGTTGCTTGGGTCTGTTGGGGGGAGGAGCAGGGAAGAACAGCTCTGTGTTTGCTAGGAACCTAATCTAAATGTCTTTAACTTTCTGTTGTCCTGTTTCACCCCCAAACAGACTGTGATGAAAGTGGTTTTTCAAATTACTCTCTCCTGGTGTATGTGCCAGCCTTAGCTTGTACTGTTTCTTCACCCTACGATAAGCTGCCAAAGGTGACCCAGGCTCTGGTATTGCTTACTTTGGTACTAATGAGTGTTCCACATGAGGCCAGTCTTCCCAGGGACAAAATCATCCAGGGATGGTGATTAATTGACACTTTCCATCTCCTTTTTTAAAAGTGTCTTCAAGTCTCTCGCTAGCGCTTTCTAGTACAAAGTGTGTTAATCCAGAATACGGTATTAGTAGAGGAGTTGCTCATGTCTCTTTAAGTGACTGGTGCCCATGGGAATGGTATGATAGGCATGGCTGCTGTAAGTTTGTCCTGAAACACAACCACCCTTGCAATCCTATCTTACGCAAAGGCCTATTCCATTGGCCTATGCAGGCTGACTTCATACTGTTGTCCTTTGCATCCATATTCTGATCTCAAAGGATGCATCTGGCCGTGAAAAGTGACTGCTTCCTGACAACCGTGAGAATTCTCCCACCGGAGCACAGCTGATGATTTTGTTACTGATGCAGAGGATAGAACAGGATCCAGTTTGCTATCCCAGAGCTCTGTTGACACTATAGGACGACAGAAGAAGATGTTACAACCCTGACTATTGCTGCTGTTGTAAGGGACAGGAAGAGCCCAGCTGGATCCTCAAAGCCTGAGTGCGGTTTGCAGTAGTGATCACTAGAGAAAACGTCCTTTTTGCAGCATATTGGTTCTGGAATCATGGGGAGAGAGTAACTGCTCCCATTGTGTAACTTTAGGAGTCACGCTGCTGTCAGTGCACTTCAAATACATGAACAAGGGTATGTTTTTCTTTCTGTACTGGATAAAACCCCTCTGCATTTGCAGAGAACTATAAAAGTTTAACATGGTGTTATGTTTCCTGTGGGGTGGGCATTCCTTCCATTGCTGTGTAGCTGCCAGCTAACTTTGCTGGCATCAACAGTGCTGCTGCTGCAACATGGATTGTAGAAGGTGCACAACCACTGACAGTGCTGCTTAGGGGTCAGGCAGTGGTTGGCAGGACATCTCCCCGCTGAAGCACATCCCTGTCTTTCAGCGCTCACCCCCCAATAATTTCCAGTCCTTCCCTTTTGCACAGGGGCTTTGTGGGCTGGGCCCTTGAACAGTTACAGTCTTTTCCAGCTGGCCTCTCACTGGAGGTGAAGGCTCTTGTAGCATTGTCTGTCTCAGACCGGGTAGGGGAGCTCAGGCCCTCCCTGTTCACCAGGCTCCAGTCCAGGGCCTAAATGGTGGGCAGCTCCAATCAGCACCTTGGAGTGCTAAAGCCACTGCCCCCCAGACCATTTCCTACCCTAGCTTCCCAGAGTAAGTCACTCTGATCAGGTCTCTGACCGGCGCACTCTGTCCCATGCTTCTCTTTTATGGGTTTGCACAAGTCTGTGTTGTCAGGTCCCAGACAATGAGCTCCTAGGCAGCACTTTCCCCTTAGAGCAGCTGTCTTCTCCCTTCCACTGCCCGCCTTCTGAGCTGCTTTGCTCTCCTTTTTAAAACCCTGCCTCCAGCTTGTGCAGGCTTTGCAGGTGTGTCTGGGCAGGGGCAGCCTGAGTCCAGAGCTGTTCCTTAACCCCCTGCTCTCCAATGTGGGGTTTGTATACCCCATCACATAGGTCCAAACAGAAGACCTGCTCACACAGTAGACAAGTGCACCCTAATTGCACCATGCCTTCCTCCTATTGGTGGAATAGAAATACAGCTTCTCCACAGCCTGCTGGAGATGGGAGGGAGGATCCTATGCTAGGGTAGAATTTGTCCAGTGCACATTTCCAAGCAGTCCCCTTAATGTTCCCCATCCCCCTGTGCCCTGTAGCATTATCATGTTAAAGGTGTGAAAATCCTATTGGCTCCTCCACTGAAATTCACCCCTCATACATTCATGTTTGCAGTGTGTTCAGAGCAGGATCATTGCGCACACTATAAGCTCCAGTACTCTGCCCAGTCTAAGTTTAAATGTCCCACATGATGGAGTTGCCACCATGTCCCCTAGGAGGCTATGCCACAGTCTGACAGGTCTCCTCACTAGAAAGCATTTCCTGATGTCTTGACTATGTTTTCCTTTGCTAGCTTCCTCCCATTGCTATTAGATATCACCCAGCAGGGAGGTAGACTTTCTGGTTTTGTAATATGATGGACATTCCTTTGTCCCAAAACAATAGTGAGGAATAGTGTGTAAGCACCCCCCCACACACACACACACACGCACTGTGATAAACTAGCTACTTTTCTCCTTTCTCCGCTCCGTGTTGGGCTTATCTAGTTCTCTGAGTTATGTTAAGTGGCCAGTGCCAGTCTGTTCTCTGTTCCCCTCACTGGCTTTGCTCTTTGGATTTCAATTCCAAACATGGTTATCCATTTGGGGTCTCTCTTCATTCTGTTGCCAAGTGATATACATTCCAAATTCAACACAAGTGCCCGTTGCTCCCCCCTCCCTCTCTGTCTCCCTGCTGCTCTCTCACAGTCTCTATTTTCACTCCTGGAGGGTTGGGGAGAGTGAAAGCAACAGGAGCTCTTTCCAATCCCATTCTCTGATGAGTTCTCTAGCTGAATCCCTCTCCTTACTCTGTGACTGAACTCTTCGGACCTCTTTCCCTGCTCCGTCTCCTGAAGGCAGTTAGTGGGGGAAGCCATCTGGCAGGACCGTGCACCTCACCAACAGCAAAGAGAAAAATAAGCCATTTGGATTCTCCAGCTTTTTTTTTTTTTTTTTTTGGTACGAACAAGTTTAAAGTTTTTTTTAAAATGTTGCTCTGAAGGGCGTTCCAGTGGGACCAGTGAGCTCCAGGGAGAGGAGCTGCCAGGCGGCTCCGATTACAGCTATCTCTGTAATTTTTATATGACAATACATTTGTAAAGCAGGACGGCTGGGAGGGTGGGGAAAGGGGAAGGATGAGCAGAAACAGCTCCTCTTGGGACCAGCTACTTTTTCAGCCCCCTTTATGCGAGGGCTGGAAGCAGAATGTTGAGGGAGCAGCCTATCACCTGGGCAATTGCATCCTCCTCCTAGGCTACATGGGGGGAAGTGGGATCTTTGGCTCCATCTATATCTTCAGCCTTCTGGCCACTGGCTACATCTGCTATGCTCTGTGGGGCTGGCTGAATGCCTGTGGACTAGACATCTTCATTTGGAATATGCTGCTGGTCATGGCCTGCATACTTCAGCTGGCTCACCTGATATACCGGCTCCACAAGCACACCTTCTTGGAAGAGTTTGACCTCCTCTACAAGACCCTCTGCCAGCCCTTGCATGTGCCCTTTGAGGTCTACAAAGAGATTGTGAAATGCTGCGAAGAGAAGGTCCTGTCACTGGCCAGAGACCAGAACTACGCTGCGGAGGGCAAGACGCCCATCAACCGCCTGTCTCTGCTGCTCTCTGGCAGGTAGGCTGTTCCCTCTCCTGACAAGACATTTCCCAGCCCTGGAATGTTGATCCACCTTAATATTTAGGGATAGTTCTGTAGAATTGAGCTAGCAACAATGAATTTGCCTGGTCGGCCTTCCTGGGGATATGTGGGGAGGATTTTAATCTCTTTCCCTGCCATTTTTAAAGCAATCTTAGTGCTGGTGGGAGGTGATGATTTACAGCGCTGGAGTCTGAAGGCCTCTATCGATAGAACAGGTACAACCTGGACAGCGGTAGTGAAGCTTCTCCCTTACCAGCTTGCTGGAGGAAGGCAGAGAGGCCTCTTTGATCCTGTGGTCTCTTGGGTACCACTTACGATGGTAATTTTTGTGACATGGTTGCCTGTCTCCTAGGAACTGCTCTGAAATTCACCAGTTTGTCTCAGCCAAAAGCTTAGAAGGGAATGGTTCCATCTCTCACTCCCAATGCCCAAAGCCAGTGGTTCACAACTGGGCCATTTGGTAAGAGAAAAATCCTTTGATGATCCCACCTCATCTGGCAGCCCTCCTGCCCTAATCCATCAATGCTGCTTCATTCTGTGGGCCACCAAGAAGGGTTCCATGGACCACTGGACATCTGCAGACCTTAGTTTGAGAACCACGGCACATAACTGTATTCCTCCATTTACCTGAGTCTCTGATTAGGTAGTGTAGTGCAGTGACTGTATTAATGAGGAAGGACTTTGTGATGTTTACTTGCTTTGGGCAATGAAGTCGTTTTAGCAGCATGTCTAGTTTTCAATTCAAAATATTAAAATATAGAAAAGCAAAAGTAGCACTATGGGTATGTCTACACAGTAATTTAAGCCAGGATCTGAGCATGGGCTCAAACCACCCCCCACCCCCACTTTGCGTCCACATTGCAAATGTGCTAACCAAGACCTCAGATCCAGGGCAGGAGAGTCCGAGCCCATGGTAAGCTGGGGCCTAGGGTCTGAGCCCTATTGCTTTCCTGTGTGCAAAGGGCCTCGGCTTGACTTGGGTCCTGGAAGTCCTCTGGATTTATCCCAGAGTTCCTGGCAGCAGAGGAGCAGTGCTGCAGGCAGCCAGCACAGTGGTCGGAAGGGTCATTACTGCCTGGCTGAGCACGCTCCCACTTCCCGCTCCGGTGGAGCTTGCCTGGAGCAGGGAGCAAAGCCGACAGGTAGGAGGAGGCTCCTGCTCGCCAGGATGTTCAGGATCATCCCTCCCCCAGCCATGCTGAGCCGGGGGCTCTGTTGCTTCCCCTCCCTGCAGGGTGGTGCTTGGTCCCACTCTGTTCTCTGGCCCTTGCTCCTGGGACCCTCCTCCCTGCACTCCCTGGGGCTGTGTATGCAGGGCACCCGGCCGTGTGCACTGCAGGGTGGTGACGGGCAGCTAGCTCCAAAACTTCCCCACAGCCTCCTGAGGATCCCTTCTCCCTGCCTCCCACAGTGTGGCAGGGGCAGGAATAAGGGATCCCAGAGGTGCTGGCGCACACTACAGCCCAAGCCCTGGGGACGCATTTCACCCTCTGCAGCCAGCACCAGCCAGGCTGGGGGTGTGTTCTGTGATACCTTCATTTTATGTCAAACTTAAAAACAAACAGACAAAGATAAATAAAAAAACCAACCAAACAAAAACACCTTCATTGAACAGCTCATTTTAAAAATTAAGAATTGCAAAGTTTCATGGCAATCGTTTGACAGCTCTGGAGACTGTTGTGCTAATTATCCTCCCCCATTGTCCTGCCATGGGACTCAGCCCAGAGGTGGGGAGCCCAATTCTCAGATTAGATGGTAGTTCAGTATAAGGCCCTCTCAAACTGCTGTCGTTCTACTGAGAGCCACCAAGGGCAGTTTATGTACTCGTGTGCTCCTTATGGGCATCAATAGCCCCGCCACAGTTAGGAAACAGGGTGAGCAGTAGAGTTTTCTCACAGTAAGCCACATTCCTAGGGCTAGAGTGTCGACATGTGGGAGGTGCTAGGCACTTTGGAATATGTTTACTTTGATGCGGGTCTGTGCACTGCAGGGTGAATGCCAGAGCCCTAAGTTCGAGCATGGGTCAGAAAATTCACAACCTAGGGCTAAAATGCAATGTAGACGCTCAAGCCAAGGGTTCCCTGACACTAGGCTTACATTGCTGTGTAGATATAGCCTATGTTACCTCCCACTGCCAGCCACTCTGCAGCAACACAAAATGAAACAGATCAAGAGAAAGGAAAGGATCGATGGGAGCCACTTTTAGTTCCAAGAATGGCCTGCCAGAATCCCATGGGCGAGGTAGTGAGCTTGGCTGGGGTAGGCTGAGAACATTGCTTGGCATTCCAGCTGTCTGTAACTCACCAGATCATTTCTCTAGTGCTGCAGTCCCAACTCCTGCCCCGCTGCTCTGATGGGGATTTCAGGACTTCCAAAGGGTTCAGGACCAATTTCTTTCTTTATTTGTTCACTACACTAAGCCCACGTACAATCAAACCATTCACAAATCTTTCCATGATTTCTTCCTACTGGACAGGTAGGTGTGTGTGTGAGAAGGGCTGTTCTTCCTTCTCCTCCTGTTTGTCACCTTCCTCCATCATCTTGGGTGGAATTGCAGAGCATAGCAGGCTCATCAGACAAACATAATTTTTAGTACTCTACACTTAGCTAAGACCTTTCATTTGGGGACCTCAAAGCACATCACAAACAGTGATTGTTAAAGCTTCCATAAGTTGCTTGACTCATCGAACAGACCTAACCTAATCACTGTGGGCTCAGAGGGCGCCTTATGCTACGGAGCTTGTTGTTCATAGTCTGAGCTGTGTGTCAGAATCCTAGCGCTTGTACAGCTCTTTATATCTTTACTTGCTTTGTAAACAATTTTTACACCCTCTCCCCCCATGAGGTATTTATGTAACGTCTCCCCCATTTTACAGAGGAAGCTGAGGCACAGAGTGGCAAAGCCCTAGTTCATATAGGGGGGTCTGTGGTGGCTGAGCTGTGACTAGAAGCCAGGAATCCTAATTCCCAGGGCTTTGCTCAGACCATGTCTCCCATTTTAACTGCAGAATGGTTCTGGTTTAAGGTTACACTAAGGGGGGACTGGGATGTGGTAGATAACGTGCTCCCTTTGAATAAGGAAAAAGTCAGTGACTAAGGCCCATATGCTCCCTCCCCCCGCCCTGCTTGCAGCCCCTTGCTGCGCAAGGTGAAGGGGAGTAAATCCACAGAGAAAATGCAGTGGGAGAAAGTGGCTAGGTGAGGGTACTGCCAAATATCTGTCCCCCTGCCAACAATCTGCATCCAGCAGCCTGCTTCAAAACTGTAGCTAACCTACTGGTAAAGTCAGTGGAGAGTTAATACTGTCTTACCTCCCACTGAGTGCTCTGTGACTCCCCTTCATGGGATCAGAGTGCTGCTGAAGGAAGTTAGCTAATTACATCAAAGCTATTGGTCCTGCCGTACTGCCACAGATGTAGGGGTAGCATGGAGGGTGAGTCTCAGCCCAGCTGCATGTGCTCCACAGGTCTGGCACTGTACCCCCAGTTCCCTCTTCTGGCCTCTCCATGCCAGACCTTTCTATCCCTGCAGGCTGTGGGGATGGGCAGGAGAATGGGGGAAAGGCTTCAATGGAGCATTACTGTGCTCCACTCTGCATGCTATTGTACAGAAAGGGAGTGCAGGGGCCTTGACTATTTCATTATTATGCAGGCTATTTCAGGGTTCCACACTAGCAATAGTCTAAAAGCAGCAAGAGGGGAACCTCAAAAGTACAGAGTTCATATTAGAAAGCTCAGATAACAATAGTTTGCCCTTCTCTGCCTCCTTCAATCTCAAGTGCTCCAACTACTTTACAAACATGAATGAATTGAACTTCCCAGCTACCCTGGGAGACAGCAGAATCACTATGGCCATTGTACAGATGGGAAAACTGAGGCATAGAGAAGGGAAGAGATTTGCCCCAGCACACAAAAGTCAATGGCAGAGCCAGGAACAAAACCCAGGTCTCCAGACTCCAAATCCTGTGCCTTAACTGCAAGATCTGGCTTTCTCCCTTTTGTAGGCTTGAACAAGCGCTGGTCACAAGTTTGACCTTAACTTTGTTAGGCAGCTGCAGTGGCAATAAGGGAGAGGGATACATGGAAAGCAGTGAGGCCAAAAGAAACTGAATGATAGTGGACAGCAAAGTATGAATTTGCTGTGTGATATGGCTGCAGCAACAGCCAATATGATTTTGGGCTTTATAAATAGAGGCATCACGCCATGGAGCATGGGGGCATAGATCCTTCCTATACGGCCCTGATGCAACTACACCTGGGTTTAGTTTTGGGTATTGGTGTAGGAAAGAGGTGGATAAGTTGAAAGGAGTTAGTCTTTAAGGTGCCACCAGACTCCTTGTTGTTGAAGTTGAAAGGAGTTGAGGAAAAGGCAACAAAAATGGTCAGTGGACTGGAAGGAGAGGTGAAAAGAAATAGGTACGAAGAGTTTGTCCTGATGACGGCTGAGGGGCAGTCATACTAACCATCTCCAAGTAGCTGAAGAGGAGAAACCCCCAGGATAGGAGGAATGGTTTAGAATGGGCCAAAGGAGTAATGTGATGACATTAAGAGAGGGAAAATGTTGGCTGAGTATCAGGAAAGACATACTAGCAGTGAGATCTATGATATCAGCCTATTAACAATTTCCCAAGAGAAGGGATAGAAGCTTCATTAACTGGGACATTTGTAACTAGACTGGAGAAGACACCAGACAAATATACTCTAGGGAACAGTCCTGCACTGACAGAGGGATGGAGTACATGTAGCTTCTTTGAGCAGATTCTGTACAGGTTACACTGGTTCACCCACCAGCCCTTTTCTGGCCTATGCCCATCATTCTCCTGTTCTCTGTCTAGGGTCAGAGTGAGCCAGGATGGACAGTTCCTGCACTATGTCTTCCCCTACCAGTTCCTGGACTCCCCAGAGTGGGAGTCACTGCGACCTTCCGAGGAGGGAACGTTCCAGGTAACTCAGCACTACCACCTGGCAGCTCTACTGCTCAGACTTGGGCTTTAGTGCTTTGTACATGTGCAGGAGAGAGTGGAGAGGAGGAAGATGGAAGGTAGTGGAGAGGGCCAGAGAAGCATTGTTAATCCTCAGGCTTTGAGCTCTCAGCAGCTCACACAGCTAGGTCTGGAAGACATTCCTCCCCTATCTCCACCATGTTATAGTACAATATTGCATAATCAGATGCATTATCATATTTCTGCCTTCCTCTGAAACACCCAGCATTGGCTGTGGTTGACCATAGGATACCAGACTAGCAGTATCGTTGATCTGGTTCTGATTGGCAGGGAGACAGCATGTTAGACTAGCTCAGGGGTTCTCAAACTGGGGGTTGGGACCCCTCAGGGGGTTGCATGGGTGGTCGCGAGCTGTCAACCTCCACCTCAACCCTGCTTTGCCTCCAGCATTTATAATGGTGTTAAATATATAAACAAGTGTTTTTAATTTATAAGGGGGATCCCACTCAGAGGCTTGCTGTGTGAAAGGGGTCACCAGTACAAAAGTTTGAGAACCACTGGACTAGATGGATCACTATTTTGCTTCCATTATGGCGATTTTTAATACCAGCATTAATGTGTTGCACAATGAGAGGGGAAACCTCACAAGAACTGCAGAATTGTGTGCTGCTGCTGTGGGAAAGGATGACAGTGACAGGAAAGACTTAAATAGCTGATTTTTCAAAGATCTGAGTTTTTGATGATGATGATGATTCTCAGGCAGGGAAATGTGGGGAGAGAGAAAGAGGATGTTTTATATTCAAATCTAGTTCCTCTACTTTCAAATTGCAAACAACCCTCCTTAAGGCATGGGGGATTCTCCTGGGACTGAATCACTCATTGTTATTTGTAGCAATTAAACCTATTGATTTTTGTTTTCATCTAACCCATCAACACCATAGAATCGAGTCCCTCCCATTCTGCAGGAAGGTTATTAAGTAGATGGACAGGTTCATCTCTCTGCAGTCTGGTGTAGGCTGATTCCAGTCAGTAGATGAATGGCCAGAACCTAGAATATGCCAGAAAGGACATGTCTGATGTCCCTGAGAGTATAATCAAGGTCAGCAGAGAGTAACGCCTTTCCCCAGAGAGGGCCAAATTCAGACCTGCGGCAAATGGGTGCAGCTCTACTGAAGCCAGCTTCCTGCTGAGGTCAGACCTGAATGTGGTCCACATACTGTGAGTGAGAGGATTGTTAAAGCTACTTTGAAAAATGAATCTGACAAACTGATGGTTGGTAGATTGCACGAGGAGTCCTTCCATATTATTGCTGAACTTCTGATTACATTAGCAGCTTACCGGTAATTCTTAGCACAGCATGTGTGAGCTGAGCAGGGAGACAGTGGCCATGCCGTCCCCTGTGAGTGTGGCATCTCACTCAGGGCGGGAAAGACAGATTCGATGACAGTAGTTCTGGAAAGCTGCCTGTGTGCTTTCTGGTCTGAAAAGTTAATTGGGCAATTTCTGGGGAAGGGTTTATTTTTGCTTAGCCAGCTCCACATATTGCAACATGCAGTTTTTGAATCCATTTAACCCGTCAGTCCCTCCTCTCTGAATCTCAGCTCAGTCCCATGGTGTGAATCACTCTGTAACTCCCCAGATGATCCCAACCTCATTTCTTCAGATATAATTGATTGCTCCAAAAACATTTTGGATAAAAGCAGACATTTCCATTTGGGGCCTTCCTTGAGGGGAGAGAGGGGGAATTTCCTTGCCTAAGTTCCCCCTCCACTGTTGGGCTCAATTGTTTCAATTTGGTGCAGAATGGAGAATGGCAGAAGATTAATTAGCTGTGACAGGATCTGGTTGCCGCCTGGATTCTGACCTGGATTTGTCTTCTACTCAGAGAGCAGCTGGCTCGCAGTCTGAACTGGATCAGGTTTCATAGTTACAGTATTTACCCAGAACATTGACCTATGGGGCCTGATGGTGCAGAGAGAGAGAGAGAGAAGAGAGAGAGTGAGTCTGTCTGTCTGCCCTGTAAGGACCGGGGGGGGGGGTTGTTACTCTATTTCACTTCATGCATTGTGAGAGAAAGAGGTGCTGGTTCAGGAGGGATTCAACTGATTGTTAGGAAAATGAGGCTCTATCCCTTTAAGTTTCAGCATGACCCTGACTCACTCACAGCCCATCTCAGGGAAGTTCTCATATTCTACCTCCTATGTTTCATAAGGCAGCTGCTTGCATGGCAGTGGCATTAATATCAAACCCAAGGACGCACACTGCAGCTCAGCCTTGTTTGGCTTCCCAGCAGCCCCTGCCATGGTTCCTGGCCAAGGAGACCCCTGCGTATGCAGCGCACAGGGAGGCCCCAGGATATTTTGGCCCAGCTGTAACACTTGTTCACATAGCTGTGTCTCAGTTACACTTTGACATGCCACACTTTGCTCCAGCCTAAGAAGGCTCGGTCCTTTGACATGTTTCCCCATCCCACAGCCTGAAAAAGAACCTGTTTCCCCCTGGGCAAGATTTTAAAAAACCCAAACTTTCTGCAACAACCACCAAGTTAAACCCCTAATGTTCTGGCCAACTTCCAACTCAGATAATTTTGCTCTGCTTCCTGCAATCCCCCCCGCAGTATCAAATGCATTCGCTAGCCTTTCTCCCTCGCTGTCCTGAACTGGGGTGTGTTGCAGTGCACTGTTAAACAGCTCTTGTGTTCTACCCCAGAGGTGGTGGCCTGAGGGGTATCCAATGGAATGAGTTGAGAGACCCCACTGTCTAAAACAATCTAGCAAACTTGAATGCAGCCTGCAGCACCTGCCTTCCCTTGAGCTGGTGACAGGTGGTGCTGCCCTCCAAAAGAAAGCTTTGTTTCATTTTCCATTTCCCAGCCACTCTGAAACCACACACACCTGCCATCCAGCTAATGAATGAGGGGAAGCCCATTACAATGCTGTGCAAGGGCAATACGGAGCCACCGTTTTTTATATGTAGCTCTCCCCCTTGAAACCAATCATTCTCCCCAATGGTAACTGTTCTGCAGAATAGTAAGGCTCCCAATGCCACCTGTGCTACCCTAGTCTTTTCAGTAGCATTGCACAGGTACAAATGGGGGCATAATTTGAAGATGAGAGGGTGGCAGGGTTGGCTCTGCAAGTGGAATTCACTGAACAGTTGTGTTAATGATGCACAGGAAGGAGCTTACTGCAGCTCCCTCTCTCTGAGCCGTACTGGTGCTGCATGGAGAAAACAGGCCTGAAAAGCAATAAAAGCCCGATTTAGTCTGTAAACTCAGCAGCTCCTACTCTTCTACACACAGGGAGCAGCTCTGTGGTGGAAAAGAGACCACAGTTCCTTTTCAGAGCAGAACCACACTGTAAAGTGATGGAACCAAAGTCTTCTCCTTGTGGCTTACTGTGCTCATTTCCCCGCTCCTCCCCCTGCAGGTCACGTTGACAGCAGAGACGGACTGCAGTTATATCACCTGGCCAAGGAGGAAGCTTTACCTCCTCTTGGCAAAAGATCGCTACATCGCCCGCCTTTTCTCGGTCTTCCTCGGCTACGACATCTCGGAGAAATTGTATGCCCTCAACGATAAGCTCTTTGCTAAGTTCGGCCTGCGCTTTGACATCCGCTTACCCAGCCTCCACCACGTCCTGGGACCCGCCTCCTCAGAGGCTGAGGCCGAGAAGGAGCTGTATGAGTGGGAGGAGCTGGCCGTGCCCCATCGTCCGATGCCTACCTTTGTCCAGACCGCTGCCTCAGCCCCTCCTCCTCCTCCTTCTGCCCACCCCAAGGTGCCCCGGCCTGACAGTGCCCTGCTGGGTGAGGACTCTACCAGTCTTGTGTTGGAAGATTTTGCTGAGTTGTCAGGGTCTTTTATGGACTATGTAAGCGAAGGGGAGTATATGAAGTGAGGGCACTTCTAACGTGGGCACACGTCACCCTGTGTGGGATCCCCATGTAAGTACTCGCTTGCCCGCGGAAGGAAACACTTCCCTCTGTGCCTGGGCCTTGGAGGCGATGGCTAATGGGACTGGCTGTGCAAAGCTTAGCACTAACTCTGCCTAGGGAAGGGGAGGGCTAAAGTGTCCCAATCCTTGGCCAGTTTGCTCATGCTTTGATTCCTTGCAAACTTGGTAAATGGCATGAATCCTGGCAGCCTCCACTCAGTCTTTAGGGATTGGGGCCATGTAAACAGGCACCCAATTGCTAGGTAGGAATAAAGAAAGGTGACCTGCTGGTGTCATTAACTCCCACTGGGTAGCTTCCTATCAAAGTTAACTTCATCAGTCAGCAAGACATTGGTCCCGGTAGAGCTGGGCTTTGGGGCGTGAGGGGAATCCCAGTTTCAGGGAAATGACCCAATGATCTTGTTACTTACCCAAAATAAATCAGATGAGGTAATGCTGTCAGTAAAGGCTGCAAAGACTGTTGTGAAATTTCCACACTACAGCATTTTCAGGACACTTCCTCATCAGAATCTCATGAGATGTGCTGAGTCGGGTGTATTTCCCCCAAGGAGGTTCATAACAGAATCTTCCTGAAGAACCCGGTTTAAAGGTTTGACTCCAGGCTCTGGTAGCCTCAGTTAACCATAACATTATACAGCCAGGCTACCGTATCCCTAGATCTGAGGGGATCTTAGACCAAGCAGAGTGTCTTGGGAGGAGGGTGCATGACACTGAGTAACGGTGTAAAGCTGAGGCAGAATGGAGACACAACAAGGAGAGACACTTATAAGGAATTTGAAGGGTGTCAAGTCATTTTCCTTGGTACCTGGAACAAAACAACAGGGCAGAAAATAAACAGATTTTCTGACTCTGTCAGGGCCATAAAGAATACAGAGGAGAGTGCAGGAGAGTGAGGTATGGATGCTTTTGAATTAAAGGGAGCTTGGGAAATTTCAGGGAATGCAAACACTGGCTTTCTCCGTGGGGTTTCTTGAATTCTCTGTGGCTCCCAGAAAGCACACAAGGCCAAATTGTGCCCTCAGTCACAAGAGACCAACTCCAGGGGATTCAGTAAGATTCAGGACTTTGGTGGGATTGCATGGGTGTCGCCACTGGCAAGCTTTGGCCCAGTGTGCCTGATTCTGTCCTCACACTGCCTTACTCCGGTGTGACTCGGTTGACTTCAGTGGGGTTATTCCTGACTTACACTGATGTCAGTGAGGACAGGCTAAGGCCAGACTCCAGGGCACCAGACAAATGCATGGCTGGTGGAGAACTGAAACATTTCTATCTCTAGGGTAGGGCTGCGCACCAAGATGAATTAAAGAAACGTCAGCTCAGGCTTTGGAATAGAGAGACTGACAGCTTACAAGAAACGCTCGGGGTTGATTCTGGCCCCTGCCCTGTACCCTGAATTGTCACCCTAGTGACATATAGGTGCTGTAAAGGTACCACAGCCAGTGGAGGGGAGAATCCCCCTATGCATGAGCAGTCTAAGGTCAACCCCATGTTGTCCCTCTTGCAGACCCAGCCACGGTGCATGCTGTGGGTGAGGAGCACGGTGGTCTATTGCACTGTGCACGATGGAGACTCTGGGCTGCTTCAAGCTGTAGAACAGGCCACAGGTGATCTGGGTAAGGCTGCTGTAAATTGGAACAGCCCGAGGGCTGCTCTAATTTACACTAGGGGCTGCATCATGCCCCAGCTGGCACAAGATTTGAGGGGCACAAAGATGGTTCAAAGCCACCTTTGCGCCTGCTCTCCCTGGGCTGTCCTGCCTGTGAGGCACAACACAGAATCTGCCCCCTCGTTTCTACCTAGACTCAACTCAGCCAGATTGAAAGGGTTTGGCCAAGGCTCCCGTGTTCCAGTAGCCATTATTTTAAAACATTCCTGGGTTGGCTGAGAGGAGATGAGTGTGGTGGTCGCATGTCATGGGTTCCCCTCTGCATGAGTCCCATTACAGGAATGCACTGGGCTTCCCTGCCTCGCTACCGCCACTGGTGCATGGGAATAACACGCTGTCTTCCTAAGCTCCTTCCTCACACCCATTCCTCACTCTGCAAAGGAAGAATTGCTGGGGTCCGTGCAGGCTAAAGGGAGCTGGGAGAGATTTGTCAACAAAAAAAAGATGCTGGAATAATTTGTGCTGGAAATTCTGAGCCAAAGGGTTAAGGGTTAAATTCCCGGCTGAGCTACATGTAGCCACTCGCTGAATGTTGATTCCAGTCACTGCACTGCGATAGCTATCCTTTGGTTTCCCGTGGCCAGTAACTAAGGGTACACCTACACCCCTATGCGACGTGTGGGGAGGGCATGCGGGATCAAGTGCGCCCCCCCCCCCATTTCTGCTTGGCCTGCCGGGTGGGGAGAGAGAGGGGCTCTGTCCTTCTCTTGCTGCACCTGCCCCCAGCATGTTCAGCCCTGTCCCTGGCAGCTGGGCCTGGGCAAGGGGCGGCCTGCTGCTGCCGCCTCCCCAACCAGGCTCTTTCAGGCAGCTGCTGTGCTGCACAGAGGCAGTGACTGGATAGGGTTGCCAACTTTCTACTTGCACAAAACCTTGTCCCACCCCCGCCCCGCCCCTCCTTCGAGGCCCCGCCTCCAAATCACTCCATCCCCCCTTCCTCTGTCGCTCGCTCTCCCCACCCTCACTCACTTTCAGGGAGTTGGAGTGCAGGAGGGGGTGAGGGCTCCAGCTTGGGGTGCAGGCTCTGGGGTGGGGCCAGAAATGAGGAGGTCAGGGTGTGGGAGAGGGCTCCAGGCTGGGGCCGGGGGTTGGGGTGCGGGGGGTGTGAGGGCTCTGACTGGGGGTGCAGGCTCTGGGGTGGAGCTGGGGATGAGGGGTTTGGGGTGCAGGAGGGTGCTCCGGACTGGGACCGAGGGGATCGGAGCGTGGGAGGGGGCTCAGGGCTGGGGTAGGGGGTTGAGGTGTAGGAGGGCGTCAGGGGTGCAGGCTCCGGGTGGCGCTTATGTCAAGCAGCTCCTGGAAGCAGCAGCATGTCCCCGCTCCGGTTCCTATGCGGAGGTGCAGCCAGGCGGCTCTGCACGCTGCCCCGTCTGCTGGCACTGCCCCTGCAGCTCCCATTAGCCACGGTTCCTGGCCAATGGGAGCTGCAGAGCCAGTGCTTGGGCTGGGGGCAGCATGTGGAGCCCCCGGGGCCATCCTTCCATCTAGGAGCTAGAGGGAGATGCCGGCAGCTTCCCAGGAGTTGCGGAGAGCCAGGTAGGGAGCCTGCCTTAGCCCCACTGCACTGACCGGACTTTTAACAGCCCAGTCAGCGGTGCTGACCAGAGCCACCTGAGTCCCTTTTCAATCGGGTTTTCCGCTCAAAAACTGGACACCTGGCAACCCTAGACCCAGAGCAGCCAGATTCAGCCACGTGAGAAGCAGCTCCCTCCCATTCCCCGCCCGGGACCAGTGCCAGGGAGAGTGCCCGAACATGCCAGAGGGAGGCACAGCGGGAGAAGGACAGAGCCTCCTCCTCCTCCCCCACAGGTAACTCTGGAGGGGCAGGGAGAGTGCAGCAGCCCCAGGCTGGGCACAGGGCGGGGGGGGGGGGTTGTTGGGCAGAGGAGACATGTGGGGCAGTCATGTGTCCTCCCCTTTAGTATGGGGAGGCACGAGTGGTCTATGCCTTCACAGCAGCGGGGGGTGGAATTTCCAGCTTGGGTAGACATACCTACACTAGGCTTAATTGAGCTAGGGTGCTGAAAATAGAATGGTAACCCTGGTGGCATGGGCTAGCTGCCACAAGTGTGTGCCTGCCATCTCAATGGGATTGTACATGCTGTAGCCCCCACTGCCGCAGCTACGCTGCTATTTTTAGCACACTCGCTTGATCGAAGCCAGCTTCTATATGTCTGCTCAAGCTGGAAATTACTCCTCCAGCTGCAGTGTAGCCACATCCCCAGCATGCTGATCACCACACTCCAGTGTCCGGCAACTGTGCTCTGGTAGCAATAAATGCATTCCAAGTGCTCAGTCTCTGTGCTCCGAGGGCCACTCACTGCATTCTGGTGGCTCTCACTGCCATTGTCCTTCAATGCTAGTCCTGGCATTGTAGTGCTATTCACTGTACTCCAGTATCAGGGGGTAGCCGTGTTAGTCTGTATCTACAAAAACAACAAAGAGTCTGGTGGCACCTTAAAGACTAACAGATTTATTTGGGCATAAGCTTTCGTGAGTAAAAACCTCACTTTTTTACGGGGCATCCGAAGAAGTGAGGTTTTTACTGTACTCCAGTGCAAGCCACTCTGCTCCAATGGTGATGGTCCAGTGTCTTAGTTGAAGCATGAAAATGAAATGAGCCTCAGAGACCAGATGGCTGCTTTTATTTACAGAAGATGTGTGTGGTGGGGTGGGGAGGCTATTCTGGACCAATTTCCTTACTCATTTTCAAAAACCACATGAGAACAACAATGACTTTATCTGCAGGACTGAAATCTTCCTGTTTTCCAACCTTACCTTGAATTTATGAGCTAAATGCCCATCCTTCGCCTTCCACACAATGCCCCTGTATCTCCAGTGTTGAAAAGGGGCTTTGTGGGTGCCCATTTTTGCTTCTTTTATGTGGGATAAAGATGACCTGCAAAGATTTTTGTCAAAAACCACCAACCAACAAGGCAACAACAAGCCCCAAACTCAAACAAAGTTTATTCCCTCCGCTTGTTTTTTAGCTTAGAAATTTCAGGAATGGCAAGTCTGGTAGTCCCTGTTTTTGTTGAAGGACGCTTTAGAGGATGTGGATTTGGAACTTTCTCAGTCCTTGTTAAAGAGCCAGGAATGCTGAATTTTTCACAAAAGGGCTTTTTTTTTAACTGTCAGGCATTTGAATTAAATAGGTGTAAACTGAAATAAATGAAAATCAAAGTTTTGAACAGTCTAAATGACAAGCACTTCATCTTTCATTCAGGTTTCACTTGTCAGTTACCCTCATGGCAGAATGCAATCAGTTCTCCAGTCATCTATAGAATATTCTAGGATAATCAGGGTTTTGTTAGTGTAGGGTTGCTCATGAAAGCTGGGGCTATGCACACTGGTTTGTTGTTGTGTGACTATGAATGACACAGATTTTACAAACTGATTTTAGAGGGAAAACAGTAAGGTGCCCTGTGGGCCCCACCAGGCCCCACTATCTCCTGGGTGAGTTTGGCAAATGGATAAGATCTGTGGCTGTAATAGTAATAGCCTCTTCTTTCCCCCTTTTCCTCCCACAGCTTCTGGAAGCCTTACCCGGAGTTACCCCTGTGCCCTCTTCAAAGGACGAGCCCCTCTGGCTCCCACCCAGACCCCAGAACTCTAGGGCACAACAGTTGGTTTTGAACAGGAAAACCCACGCATGAGTGTATGCTCACACACCTCTAACCAGAAAGACACTCATTAACATGCACCTACATGTCCACACAACACTCCTGCAAGCACATGAAGTATCTGCATGAGACTGAAGTGTGATGGCTGGACACCTTCCACACCACATTCTGTTCACCTGCAGTGGCACAAGGGATGTCTGGGTGTTCCTTTTTGTATTCTGGTCTTTCACTCCCATGGTCTGTTAACAGCTCTGTTATCAGTTCCATTAAATGTGTTGGAAACACAGTGGTATTAGCCTGTCCAGGGAGTCTTTTGATTTGAGGACACCAGTTAAAGAGCGTGTTGATTCACTAGGGTTCAGTGACTTGGAGGGGAGACGCTGATGTTCAGAGGATTTCACATGAGCTCTAGAAGTAGGAAAATGGGACTATAGAAAGACTAAGAGTTTTAATATTTATGTATATTGGGAGGTGGGGTGGAGTGAGGTATGGGACTTGTGCTAGCGATATACATGGAATCCATTTCTATCAGGCTTAAAATTCCATGTCCAGGATTTAACGCTTTTCATTTATGATAACAGCAGCTAAGTAATGAAGTACGTACCAGTTTCTGATGTTGGGAAAAGATTCACTAGGTCTTTTGGTCAATCCACTTGAAATAAGGAGGATGAGAAGAACCAGGACTGAATTGCTGTGCCCTCTTGGGATGGATTCTGGGTCTAGCCCTGGTAAGGGGATGGACTTAACCTGGATTTCTGTGTCCCTCTGGAAGGGAATATGGGTACATGTCTTTGGAAGGAGAAGAAGCTGAACTGGATTTTTGTGGACTCTGGGTGTTTCCACTGAGATGGAAATGAAGTGAAGGAATAAGAAAGGAATAAGAAGCAGGATAGGGAAGCAGGGAAGATGCAATATTTTAGTTAAGAACAATATGGAGATGGTAGGCAACTCACAAATATAGCGCTGACAATATTTCTACTGCAAGCTCACCTAGTGGTTTCATCTATGGGGGCTCGCATGGTGTGATAATAGTCACCAGGGGCCCCTTTTGGCCTTTTTACTCCCTTTAGTCTGGTGCCAAGGGGCCACATGGCAGGCAAAAGGCCCCCTATGCTCAGGTACAGAGGCGGCTCCACCAGCTCCGTGCTGTTCCCACAGGGGCCCCACGTGCAGGAGGCATTCTGGTGTGGGCCAGGGGCATGGCTAGGGCATGCTCCTGCAAAGCTCTATAAGGGTCATTGAAGCACGGACGTAAGTAGCCAGTACCGGGTTTATGCCAGCCCCTGCAGCACGAACTGCCTCCTCTTTGTTACTCTGCCACAGGAGAATCAGATTCCAGCATCCTCTATCACACCCTGCTGTGTTGTTGCCCCAGACAGACATCTCTAGCTATTCACTGCGTCTGCTTCTCTCTGACCCAGTCATCCTCTGTAGGCAAGGAAGCTCCTCCAGTGGAGAGCTGTTGGCTTCTCCTTAGCAAAGGAGTGGAGGTTTCTGTTCAGTGGCATTAAACTACACAGCAAAGTAGTCACCACCCCCTGAGCTGTCGGGTAGACCCTGAGGTAGCTGTTAATACATATTGCTACCCCAAGGTATCCGCGCAAAAGACAACTGCTGTCTCGGGTGCTGACTTTTATTTTTCCCGGTGGCTGCTTCACCCCCACTCTCCCCCAAGGCCCTGCCCTGCCCCCACACCGCCCCTTCCCCTGAGGCCCTGGCCTTGCTCTGCTTCTTCCCGCCTCTGCTACGCCCTCTACCCTGAGGCCCCCAGCCCACCTGCCCGCCGCTCACTGCTCTCCACCCTCCCCAAGTGCCTCCTGCCAGCCGCCAACAGCTGATCGATGGCCCTGCCAAACAGCTGTGGCTGGTATGTGCTGAGCACCCCCTATTTTTTTCTGTGGGTGTTTGAGCCCCTGAGCACACACGGAGTTGGCACCTATGACTGCTGTCACAAGAACTGATACATGAACCCCAGAGCGCATGCACACCCAGCTAGAAGAAAAATCAAACCCTCAAAGGACTGGGGCTCTGCTGAGTCCCACAGAGAAGCCATCAGAGGGGTGGGTGCACGCTCCCTTGTGAACTTCCCACCAGGATGTGCCCCCCCCCATGATTCTTACATAAAATCATCACTTATAAAGTTTTCAGATGACACAAAAATTGGGGGGTGGTAAATAATGAAGAGGACAATTCACTGATACAGAGCGATCCGGATTGCATGGTAAACTGGGTGCAAGCAAACAATAAGAAAGAAATGTAGCCATATTTACAGGATTGGGGGTTCCCTCCTGGGAAGCAGAGACTCTGAAAAAGATTTGGGGGTTGTGGTGGATAATATGCTGAACATGAGTTCCCAGTGCAACACTTTGGCCAAAGGAGCTAATGCAATCCTAGGATGCATAAAGAGAGGAATCTCGAGTAGGAGTAGAGAGGTTGTTTTATCTCTGTATTTGGCACTGGTGAGACTGCTGCTGGAATACTGTGTCCTGTTCCAATGTCCACAATTCAAGAAGGATGTTGATAAGCTGGAGAGGGAAGAGCCACATGAATGATTAAAGGATTAGAAAACATGCCTGATAGTGATAGTCTCCTATAAACTGGATGGGCAAGTGCTGTCCCAAGGGATGAGCTCGGGACCCTAGTTTTGTAGGGTTCTTTCTTCACTCCCTTCCCTCCCCAACCCAATTACCCATCTGTAGGGTTCTGAATCTTGTCATGGTGGGGAAGCCTCCTGGCTCCAGATGAAGACCTCTCCTTTGCTCTTGTCCTGACTTGCTTCTGCTGGCCAGCTGTTCTCTTGACCTCTGTGTTCTGTTTCTTTCATGCAAGGAAAGGGCTTCTCCACCCCAAGTCTGTCTGGTGAGGTGGCCAATTGAGGGGTTAGAACCCTGATTTTCTGAGGTATTTATTAAAATACACCTCTACCTCTATATAACACTGTCCTTGGGAGCCAAAAAATCTTACCGTGTTATATCGAACTTGCTTTGAGCCGCCGGAGTGCGCAGCCCCCTTCCCCCCCGGAGCACTGCTTTACTGTGTTATATCAGAATTCGTGTTATATCGGGTCGCATTATATCGGGGTAGAGGTGTATGTTTGTTTGGGAAAACCCTGAGAAAAGGGAATGGCCCTAAAAGAGACTGATGAGCTCTGGCTGAGAGACTTCTGCCAGGAAAGGCCTGAGTGTCCAGGCGGAGGGCCACTCTCCCAAGGCTAGATGCAAAGCTCTTGCAGAAGAAGTTAAGGAAGGGCTGTCCAGCCCTCGGAGCAGAGCTCTTCACTGACTCCTCTGGCTGTATCTCTTGTTCTCCAACTGCCAGGGCTATTGAGCATCTAAATGTAGACGGGTTCCTGAATCAGGGCAGATCCTTATTTTTCAGAGTGTTTTTGGTGTGTTTTTTTCTTACTAATAAATCATCTGTTTTAATATTTGAACATTCCTGGCTCTGATAAATCTGAGTATCCAAGAACAGGACACATCAACTTTGCCAAAGAGACCCATCACAAAATGACAATCAGATAGCCAGAATAGCAGCTGGAGTCTTGTCATGATAAGAGAAAACATATCGATGCTGATTACACTGCAGGACCACTCATGTGAAATCAAGAGGTCCTCAGACTCTGTAGGCATCCATGGCCCGGATTAGTTATTTTCACATCTGTGTGTGTGTGTTGCTAGGGGAATGACCCCTTCCCATACAAAACCAAAGCCACACAGCTGCATGCTCACTAATAACAATAATACTTTGCATGGCTGAGGCGTTTAATGTGAAGATTTCAAAGCACTTTAGAAATATTAAGGAATTAACTAACCCTCACGATCCTCTTGAAAGATGAGCATTATCAGCCCCTTTGACAAAGGGGGAAGCCAAGATTAAGCGATTTGTCCAAGGTCTCACAATGGTGCATTTGTAGAGCTGGGAATAGAGCCCACGAGTCCTAACTGCCAATCTCCCGATCTAACCGCTTGACCATAGTCTTTCCTTTCGGCAGTGCACTTCTCTTCCCAGAGCTGTTATTCACTCTATCCCCAAGGTGGGTGGATGAAAAATCCAACTGGTTCTGTCCTTTTTGGAGGAAGTATCGTCCAGAGGGGGGAAGTACAATTTGGAGTCCAGCAATGTGCCTGTGCATGCTACATGCTCCAGGGGACTCTCCTATGCACAGTCCACTGCCAGGTCACGTTCAAGGGGACTGCTCGCTGTCAGGGACAGATCTTGAGACAGGCAAAACATCTTCTCACTGTGAGAGAAGCACACAGGAGTTAGGCAAATCTTAAAACAGCCAAGGGCGAGAACCTGCTGGTGTCAAAGGACTAGCCCCAGAGGGACTCTCTCTGATCTCCATCTCTCGCAGTTGCTGCTGCATTAGTTAGGGGAGTCTCAGATTTTGTGTTTCTCTGTGAGGAATATGGGCTTTCACAGGGTGCCAGATCAGTGCACAAGGAATTGGCATCACACGCTGATGCTTCAAATTTGGCTTTGACATTGCACCCAAACAGTCAGAGGTGATGGGCCAGATTGTACCATTTAGGCACAGCCCCGACTAGGGGGCGCTGTGGAAGGGGAAGCACAATGCTTCCCAGAATTCCAGCGTGCAATGGATCACAGCTGCTGCGCCAGCCTTTAGGAAGGTGCAGCATGTGCTCCTCTGTGTGTCCGGCTGGTCTGTGCAAGCTGGTGTGGGGGACATAAGGTCATGACTCTGCCACTCCCCTATTACCTTTGTGGGTCTTTTGCTCTCCAGGGGGCACTGGAAAGGAACAGTCCTCAAAAGAACTCTGGAGCAACAGTGGCATCTTCTCTCTGTGTGGGGGTTTGAGAGTGGGGAGGCTTCTTGTGTCCTCTCCTGCTTGTGCACCTGTACAAAGGCCCTGCTCTGTCTAGCTTTCAGGTGGGCTCTCTAGGCATAAAATGAGGAGTATGTCTCTTAATGACTATGGGGTGCAGTTGAGGGGTCTGCTTATGGTATATCAAGGACTGTGTTGGAACTGCAAGCTCTCACTTTAAGTGTGAGGGGGGGTTTCCTGGTCCTGCATGTAGGCTAGTGGGCTCTGTAGCAAAGCATGCAATCAGTCAGACTGGAAAGAGCCAGCTTAAAGAAAGGTGGGGTGACGTGTGCCTCTCTGCCTTAGGGAGCAGCCTGCTTTGTCTCTCTCTGTTTTTGGGATCATGTGTGTTATTGTTTTGAAGTCTAAGCAATAAAGTAGTGTTACGTTGCAACCTTCCATTAAGAGTATTTATGTTTTTATCTAACTTCTCTGTGTGTATGCTGGGAACATAACACTGGTCATCAGGAATGTTGTATTAGGGTGAGAACCTCATCCAGGTTAGACGGGTTTGCTTTTGGTTTGTCCTGCTTTGGAGAGGCTAACTAGGGCTGGATGGTAACTACAGTTAAACAAATAATGGATTTTTTGGTTCAGAGGCTGAATTTAAAATCCAGGAAAAATAATCCAGTCTGTCAAATAAAAAAAAAACTCAAAAAAAAAATAACTGTTTCAAACCAAAACTATTTGATGACCCAAATTTGGCAAAGGAACCTGCCAACATGCATTGTTTGGTGACAAAATAATTTGTAAAAAAACCCAACCCTAAACATTTGCCTCGCTCTAATGGTTACTGGTTCACAGTCTCTGGCTGCACAGCTCATCCGTTAAAATCAGGGGTGTCTCCCATGTAATTCATTTCCTGAATTGTCTCTGTGTGTGTGTGCATGCAAAGGAAGGGGTGGGGGTGGGGGGTGAATACAAGGGCCTTTGTGGCACCTCAGCCCTTTCCCAATATCTCCTTCATTTCTGCTGTATGTGGTACCCAGCAACAGCCAGAGAAGAGAAAGGGGAGAAGTCTACCTAACATTCTTAGCAGCTTCTACGTGACCCCAAGAGGAGTTGTGCTCTCACACAGGGCGAGAAGCTGAAGCATTGAGCCGGCCAATAAGGCTCTCTGGCTGGAGTGAGCTCAAAGGATGTCTCCTGCTTACCGATTACTGACAGGCAGTGCGGTTGTACAGAAGTTGCCAACGATGACAGCCTTGTCCTTCTTCCAGATGTGCAACTTGGGGAGATACTTCAGCGTCACCGCCTCTATCTGGCACAGTGGGACTGGGTGAGCCAGCACCCCTTTGCCCAGCTGCTGCTGCTTAGGTCTGCAAGGCAGAGGGAGGGATGTGAATAAGAACAAGGGGCCAACCCACAGTAGCATGTGAGCATGCAAGGGGGGATGGGGACACAGGTGTTTACTGAAACATTGGAGATGATGGGGTTGTTAACAGGAACCCACATAGAACTTGGTGAGATCTAAGGATCCTTCTATGGCAATCTGACACTTCATGAGAGGTGGGAGGCTCTGCCCCAATAGACCCCTCTCCTCCTCCAGGGGGATCTCTCTGTGTTATATGCCCTTCCTCTTCAAAGGCTGGAGAATGTGTGGATGTGGATGTGTATCTTTCTTCTTATACCACATGATTAAAGCAGCTCCCCCAGATCAGCAAATATTCACTCCTCTGTCCCTCTGTCTTGTAATCCTATCCTGACACTCCAACAAATACAGCACTAAACATTGCACAGATGGCCAGGAGCATTATGAAGTGGGCAAAGTGTGGGGTGGGGGATGTTGCCTTCTTTGAAATGTCAGGTGCTGGCCACTGCCAGCAAGAGGTTAATGGACTGTAAGGACTATTGATCAGATCCACTAAGACAAAGCCTGTTTTACAAAGAACAATGAGGCCTATTAATCCCTACTGTAACTGCACTGATTTTAGTGGAGTTACATGGGAAGGAATTTGGCTCACTGTGTCTGGTTTGCAGTTCTCAGAAAATAAAATAAGAGAAATGAATGATAAGAAAATGTAAAACAAACCAAGGGAAATCCTTCTTTCTGCAGCATGTACTCAACATGTGGGATGCACCCCCACAAATGGGAAGAGAGTCACTGGATTTCAAAGAGAGTTGGTTAATTTTATCGCCAGTAGTCCTGTGTGTGTGTGTGGAACTCTGGTTGACTTTAATGGGAGTGCTGTGCATGGAGGCTCTGCGGGACTGAGCGCATGATGGCCAAATATTTCAAAGCTGAGTGTCTATAGTTATGGTCCTAACTCCATATGTAGGCATGAAAAAAACCCAACTCCAACATGTTTTCAGAAGTGCTGAGCACCCACAAATCCTACAGAAGTCCCTGGGAGCTGCTGAGTGCTCAGCACGCTTGAAAGTCTGGTCACGTATTTAAGTGCCTAAATATGGACTTGGAAGCAAGCAGGCAACCAAGTTTGAAACTCGGCCTGGTTATGTAGGAAGCTTAGGCCATAGCTGCATGGGAAGCTTCTTCTGTATAATCTGAGGTGTGAATTTAAGCTGATATAGTTACCCTGGTAGAGCCCACCCCAGGCAGACACTCTTATTACGGTATGAGAGGGTCTTCTTTCAGGTGAGATTATGTTGCTTGGAGAAGGGGTTTAAGCAAAACCAAAAAAAAAGCCACTCTTATTCTGGATTAGAAGAGAGAGAGAGAGAGAGAGAGAGAGAGAGAGTGACTCTGTGTGTGTGTGTGTGTGTGTGTGTGTGTGTGTGTGTGTGTGTGTGAAAGAGAAAGAGAGTGAGAGAGCGTGCAGTATAACTACAGACAAGGCCTTAGGTTGCGTGTCTGTAACTAGAGCCCTGCAAATCTTTATATCCACAGACCATGTTTGCAGATTGGATACGGATACTAATTTTGTATGTTCAGAGGGCTCTAGCTGTAACCCAACCAATTTCCATATGTCCTGTCCTTCTTGAGCTCACAGGCCACCTGGTGGACATACTTAAATTACCAGAACGGCTGTTTGCCTCAAATAGTCATGATTGAGCCACCAAGGTTTAGAGTAGAGCGGGGCCCAGATCCAAGCACCTACACACACATTGTTGGGAAATGTAGACCTGGCCTTAAACTTTCCTGGGCTGAACTTGTCTGTAACTCAGAGGTTTGATTTGTATCTCTTCAAGCTCCAGGAGGTTGGCTGCTTATCTGAATTCATCTAAACTTCTTTGGTCTGCAACGTTAGGCTGGAAATCAATGGAGATGTACAGTGCTTATTGTTACTGGCCAGGCTGGAAATCCCATGGAAACAGCCCTTCCCTGAGTATCTCAGCCCTGCTGCTCTTGGTCCCAGGCATAGAGGCAGCACACTTCAAAGATCTGGACCAGACTTTGTGCTGAGTGGAGTTGCTGCTCAGCTCAACAGAAAGGGGCCATCTGGGAGCTAGCTCTGGTGCTGCTCTGGCCTTGGCCCCCAGCACACATCCTGCAGCATGCTCTGCTCTCTTCCTCCCTGCCCCACCTTGCCTGTTGTGCTGGAGGTTGAGGGAAGGGACAAAGGAGCTGTAGAAGCCAGCAAGACTGGCTCTGTGCCTGTTGGGCACTCTCCTTTGCTGGGGAAATCCCAGCGGAGTTAGGACACAGGACAGGGAGGGGTCAAAGAATCTGGCCCTTGAATTCAGATACAATTTGTGGGAAGATGGCAGGTTCCAGATGGATCTTACTGTCCCGAACCTGCCTCTGTCCCCAGCCTCGGTGGATTCTCCTCTCCCATTGCTGAGTAACTGCAGTTACAATGGATCAGTTAACCACTGTCCTGCGGCACAGAAATGCTTCTGTCTCCACAGCCATTTTCAGCTCACATCTCAGGGTCATCAGGACAGCTGCCTGATGAGTCAGGTATGTATGGCCAGACCCTGGAAGGGAGGTTGGTGTTTGCTGGATGTCCCTCTCTTTGCCAGCAGTTAGGTTATCAGCTACTCAGTTACATTACCAGGACACCTCGTGGTGATTGCATGTGGTCACTTGCGCTACCACTATGCACGTACATGGCTTAGAAGGACATCCTTGTGCCTGCAACAAGGAAGACGAGGGACTAAAGACAGGTCAGAGGTGCACATTGTCACTCACATGGTGATCTTCACGCTGGCTGTAGAGTTGCTGCTGCGGAAGGTGATCTCAAGTTTGGTGACCAAGCTTCTGTTCTGCTGCAAGTGAAACTCCACCAGGCTGTGGTACACTGGGCAACAGACAGCACACGACAGAGTGAGGGCACAAGTCCCTGGCTGGACCATACCTTCAGCATTAACCCTCACCTTGTACCAATAGGAGGGCTGTCCGTCCTCACCCCTGCAAGCTCTGACCTCTCCAGCACCGTATGGAGCAGATTAAGCAGAGCTTTGACATAAAAAGGGAACAGGCTGCCTGCTCAATTGGACATATATTTGTTTACTGATGGGACTCCATTCTTCACTGTTATTTTCTGAGAGTGAGAGTCAGACAGACACAGAGAGCCAGAGAGGGAGGAGGGTGGCAGCAGGGCCGGCTCCAGGCACCAGGCAACCAAGCACATGCTTGG